TCCATCTTTATAAAGTCAAAAGTCGTTCATAATTTCAGTTATGTGCTGTCCTCAGCACTGAGTACAGCACCAATCTCAAATTGGTCATTTGATAAGTACCTGATGGCTGATTGCAGAGTGACTGCTGGCTAGGTACTTTTTATGGGTGAAGGTTTTTATCTACTATAGATATTATGTTGGATTTATCACATTCCAGGGTGTTACGATTGCTTTTACTCCACATTCAATAAAACAGACATTAAACCCAGCATTCCTAGTAACCATAATCATATTAATTTCATGTGTAATTTTAAAAGATACATTATGACATTAGAAAACAGTAGAAGTGTCTCATCTGGGCACAGGCAGAATGAGCCATTGTATTCAATAAATTCTCCCAATAGTCACTGACTGCTCCCTTTTTAGAGACTCCAGCCCAACAAGAAAGACGACTTAAAACCAAATTTTAATGAGAATTATCACAGTACAAAAGAGAGACTTTTTTCACAAACACATGTAACTACTGGGCCTTTCTAAGTTTGGAAAATAAGAGAAAATTTGTTTCTTTAAATATTTTATTGAATTTTTGTGTATCTCATACATAACATCTTAATCATCTTTCTCCATCTGTACTCTCCCATAGCAGCCCGCCCCCCACCACCACACTGGAATTCATGCATTCTGTCATTTATGTTAAGGCTTATCAAGTCAGGTTAGTATGCCCTGACATCCTTCAGTGCATGTCCACTGGGGTCTAGTCAGTCTGTCTACAGTCACCCCCTTAAAGAAGACCAGCTTTTCCTCACCCAGCAGTAAGCCCAATAGTTCTTCGGCTAAGATTGGGACCCGTTGCCCATTTCCATGGTTCTGTGCTAGGTTTTTGGCTGCTTATGTTTACATGGATCTTGTGAATGCTGTAACCATTGCTGTGCAAGGACCTAGGAGCCTGTAAGACTCTGTATCCTTGTGGTCATGCACCTTCTCTTGTGGCTCTTATAATCTTTCTGTCCCCTGTTCCACAATGGTCCCTGAGACCTGGGTGGGTGAATTTTAATATGGGAGAATAGGACGAATAGGAAGAATAGGAAGTGGCTATTTCTGTTTAACTTACTGGGCAGTCAGCTCTCAGCACACACTGACCATGGGCAAATAAGACATACATTTGAAAAAGTCTGCATAGAAACCAGGTATGATGACTAATCTTGGCATTGGACAGGCTGAGGCAGGAGTATTGAGAGTTCAGCTCTATACTTCCAGGCTAGCTTGGGCTACATAGTCATATGCATCTTTAAAAATTGGTTTTCTGGGGGCTGGAGAGATAGATGAATAGTAAGAGCACTTGCTGCTCTTGCTGAGGATTTGGGTTCAGTTCTCAGCACCTACATGGCAGCTAATAACCACCTGTAACTCCAGTTCCTTCTTCTGGCCTCCATGGGCACTACATGTATGCGGTAGACTTACATACATGCAGGCAAAACACATACACATTAAAAATAAATAAAATTTAAAATACATTTAAAATGATTTGCAGAATACAGGAAAATTTTAATTTGTTTATTCTCCACATAAATATTTTAAACCAAATCCTACCTCCAGGAACAGATAATGGAATGTTAGATATGAAGGAAACTTGGAGAATTTCATGGAAAAGAAATGTCCTTGGCATTTTATACTTACTAACAAGAAAGGGTACTTTGACAGAGTAGTAATATCTATTTTTTTTAAATATTTACTATTTTTATTTTATGTATATGAATGAATGTATTGCATCTATGTTGTGCAATGCCGACAGAGGTCGGAAGAGGGCATCAGATCCCTGGAACTGGAGCTACAGAGATTGTTAACCTCCATTTGGGTTCTGGGAATTGGAACTTAGGTCCTTTGCAAGAGCAGTCAGTACTCTTAAACACTAAGCCAGTCTCTCCAGTGTCCCTAACATCTATTCTAAATGAAGTAAAAACCTTCACCACTGGTCTCATCACAGATAAAAAGCCAATGACTTGGGACTGGAGAGATGGTTCAGTGGTTAAGAGCACTGTCTGCTCTTGCAGAGGCCCCAGGTTGAATTCCTGGCACCCACATGGTGGCTAACAACCATCTGTAACTCCAGTTCCAGGGGATCTAATACCTTCTTCTGACCTCTGTGAGCATCGCATGACACAGGTGCACTTACTTACATGCAGGCAATACACTCATACACATAAAATAAATAGATTTTTTTTAAAAATTCAATGACTTTCATACCTTGCACTTCTGAGGACAGGAGTGAACTGTGAGATGCTGCCATCAGAAAAGGAAAATGTGCAATGTATTTACAATTAGTAAAACTCTCACTTCTACAACTGAAACAGAGCCCTGCTGCCCCACTCCAAAATATTGTCACTCCCCATATGGGTTAACAGTTTGCATTCAAAATTATTTTTTGAATGTCAAGCATGGTAGCTCACACCTTAAAGCCCAGCATTTGGGAGGCAGAGACAGGCAGATTTCTGTGAGATCAAGGTCAGCTTGGTCTACATAGAGGGTTCCAGGTGGGCTGGAAAACCTGTCAAATATATAAAAAAAAAATTTTACGTTTTTTTTTTTGCTAAAATTCCTTCTGGAGGCGCAAACGCTGTACAGCCCCCTCCTCCCATTGTCCTTATGACAAACCGAGGTATAATTTCTCCAAACTACAGTTTGGGAAACTAATGAGTTTATTGGGGTTACTTACACAGCAGTGGGACAGGGGTTACTTACAGGTGTATGGGAGCTCTCCGCACCCCAAGGCCACACTGGAAAGACTGTCCAGCAGCCTCCAAAATGGAGTGAGCCTGCCTCATGGCATTTTCTGCTTAGGTACTTGTATTAGTTACTTTTCTGTTGCTGTGATAGAAACACTGACCAAACCAATTAATAGAAGGAAGAGTTTATTTGAACTTATGGATCCAAAGGGGCAAGAGTCCAGCATGGTGGGTAGCATGGTGGCAGAGGTGGCTGGAGGAGGAGCCGAAGCTAGGCTCTAGGAAACGAGAGGGACTGGAGATCTGGCAAGCTTAAGAACTCTCTAAGCCCGCCCCCAGTGACGTGCTTCCTCCAGCACAGCCATACCTCTAAGACCTCTCCAAAAAAGCTGCACCAACTGGGTACAAAATGTCCCAAAACTTGGAGCTTATGGGGGACATTCTCATTCAAACCATCACATGACTCTTTGTCCCTTCCCACGGTGCAACTCAAGGGACTGCTTGTTTGGGAGGTGTGGCTGACTCTCCCCGCCCCTCCTTTCTTGCGGAGACACAGCAGTCAAGTTTGTTTGTGATGATCTTAAACAGCAGGTGCAACAAAGCTTGGGAAGCTCGATATTTGGAGGACAGTTCTGTGCTATACTTTTTCTTTCTATGTTCCAGCCATGACCTTTGCCCACAATTGTGCTTCCTCCTACTTCTGTAAAGGTTTGAACGTCTCCTGGAGCCATCCACTCAGCTTCTGCCCCTGTCATCGCCTCCCGGGCATTTCACAGACCCCATCTCACCTGCTGTGGTCCTTTTCCTTCCTCATCTCATTGTACTCGATCACCTCTAATCCATAACCTCCCACTGCTGTTCTAGCCACTGTCTCTCTTTCGAACTTGAGGCCCTTTTAAAGAAATAAGTGTTGAGTGTGTATATTTTAAGTAAGAAAACAGCTACCCCATAAATATTTGAATGAATGACATCAGTATCCTAAATATCTGAATGATAAGCTCAATATGTAATTTATAGCTTGTACTTATATACCAAAATATATTATTCATAAAGATAGGCATATATTATTCAAAATATTGTTCACTGCTTATTTAATAGGTAAATATAGAATTTTAAATGTGCAGTCCTTGGTTATCATTTATTCTAGCTTCATCACTGCATCTGAAAAACACAGAAATTAAAATAGTACAATTAAGACACAGAGGAGCAGACCTCAGCACATGGCAAACATCAGACACAGGCTTCCCAGCCCTGTTTGTCCTACGCCGCCTGCCAGTAGGGTGCGGGGTCAATGACAAAACATTCTTAACTTTTCTGTATTTGTCCCAAAGCCAGAACCATAAGCTCATACTAAACCTGTGGTCTAAGAATTACCTGTGTTTTATTTTCTGGTTATATTTCAGAGTAAGTAAAATTTTAAAGGTTACCCAGTCTTGAAAGTATTGAAGCACAAAGCACTTTATGAGATCCCAGCTGTTTGTCATTACATTTTAAAAAAGAATTTCATAGTACTCTACATGTAATTACTGAGCTCAAAATACAGAAATAAAGTATTAACACAGAAGTGACTCCTGGGGAAATCTGCTCCACTGCACGATCCGCAGTGCAGGCCGTCTCACTCCAGAGCTGAAGGAGCCTAGGAAGTGTTTCATTCCTCACATTCATGTTTCCATGTGACTGTTACAATTTTGTTTTTAAAAACTAACCATGTAAATGTACATTTCTAAAATAGTCATTTGTGTTGTGAGAACACATCTGCATTTAGAAAGGATTTTTCTAATGAAACAGCTATAAAGGGTTGTTCCTTGAATTTGAAATGAATGTAAAATGACGTAATACATTGTATTAAGAAATTTCTAGAAAAGAAAAAGGCCAGTGTTTTAATTGTGGCACTTAAACATGTCCACCTTGAGTGCATATAATTCAACATGTGTAGCTTGACTATTCAATGCATAATGTGTATCTGGATGCCAGGAGCTAATGTGGTTGCAGAGCTGTGCCCTTACGTCTTGCCACTGACTTAGTTTGATGCAAAGCTCAGTGAGTCAAGGTCCTTAGCCCAATTAGTTTTTCTGTGTTAGGAACAGAGACCCTATATTGAATGGATCACCTTCCTGGTTTCATTCCTCCATATCCTCATCCACTTCTGTGAGAAGGAAGGGAGGTTTTATAGTGTAACTCACACCAACTGATCTGCTTGTAGTCTGCCACTTAAGCTAATCAAAAAGATAAAAACTTACTCATTTTAATGCTAAAGACTGAATGTCTTCTATTCTATCCTACTTTATTTTTTCTCAGACTGTATTTCCTGTGAATCCTGATCAAGCAATACAAATGTGCTGCAATGGTGACATAAACCATTGACTGAGCCTGGGGACACAACCGAAACACAGTCTTCGCTCTTACTTTTTCATGGTGCTTCCGTTTGAATAAAGACAGTGCAACATGAGTTTTATCATGAAGCTCCACAGACACTTTCAAAGGACAGTCATTCTGCTTGCCACTTTTTGTATGGTGAGCATTGTTATTTCTGCTTACTACCTGTATAGTGGCTACAAACAGGAAAATGAACTCTCTGGAATGGCTTCAGAAGTGGACTGTGGTGACCTCCAACATATACCCTATCGGCTGATGGAAGTGAAGACGGAAAAGCTTTCTGATGCCACAAGAACAGACCCCATGGTCCTGGTGTTTGTGGAGAGCCAGTACTCCACCCTTGGTCAAGACATTGTTATGATTCTAGAATCAAACCGATTCCAGTACCACATTGAAATCGCTCCTGGAAAAGGAGACCTCCCTGCACTTACAGACAAAACAAAAGGCAAATATATTCTCATTATTTATGAGAATATTTTAAAGTATATAAACATGGACTCTTGGAATAGAAGCCTTTTAGATAAATACTGTGTAGAATATGGTGTGGGTATCATTGGATTCCACAAAGCCGGTGAGAAAAATGTACAGAGCTTTCAGTTAAAAGGTTTCCCTTTTTCCATAAACGGAAACCTTGCAGTAAAAGATTGCTGTGTTAATCCCCATTCACCGTTGCTTCATGTGACTAAATCATCCAAGCTTGACAAAGGTTCTTTACCTGGAATTGACTGGACAGTTTTTCAGATTAACCACTCAGCCTACCAACCAGTAATATTTGCCAAAGTTAAGACCCCAGAAAACCTTTCTCCTCCCATCTCCAAAGGTGCTTTTCATGCTACTGTCGTACACGACCTGGGGCTTCATGATGGGATTCAGAGAGTTCTTTTTGGCAACAACTTGAACTTCTGGCTGCACAAGCTCATCTTCATAGATGCCATCTCCTTCCTGTCGGGGAAGAGGTTGACGTTGTCCTTGGACAGGTACATCCTCGTGGACATCGATGATATATTTGTGGGGAAGGAGGGGACAAGGATGAATGTCAAGGATGTGAAGGTAAGACCTTGTTTTCTCCAAGCTTGCAAGTTACTTCATCTTTCAGTCGGTCTACAGACTCTTCTGTCTTGTACTAGGACTAAGAAGTTGTCCAGGACTCCTGTTTTATCAAGAGAGTTTGAGACAAACCAGTGTAACTGGCCACATCACCTCTCACTCTAGTAGGTAATAGGCTTCTATCTGAATCAGGAAAAATGAAGGTTATGCTAAAATATTGAGGGTGTGGGATCCTGAAATGGTTCTCTACACCCATTTATAATTACAAAGTAGAAGCCATTTCATTTAGTTATTTTCTAGAACTAATTTAGAAAACGAAGGCAGTCTATTGATATGAAATCAAAGTGAATTTGTTTTGCTGAAATCATGTACTCACAAGTTTTTAGGAATTGCAGATCTCATAAGTAGCAAGTTCAGATAGTTTTGAAAGCTAATATGAAGCTCATTTTCACTTACCATATTTTTGAAATTGAAAAATATGAAGAATATGACTGAACAAGTATATTTATTCACATAAAACATAAGGATTTAACTTATCTCAGGAACACTTCTGGCACATATGCAAAACCCACTGTGCTGCATTTAAATTATATGGCTTTTCTAACTGTGTGAAACTGCTTCTCTTAAACAGAAAACAATTACTTAAATATAGTAGAACTGATTATGTTACATAAACAACTAGTTGCTTAATGTTAATGAAAGCAAAGTTAAAATTAATCTACATTTATCTTGGTTTCCCTTTTAAAATGGGATTCTAGCTCGCTTACTTTGTTATGTTGATTTCTCACCCAAGCAAGAGGCTTTTGGTACTTTTATTTTATGCAACTTTAGCTTTCTGATAGTGTATTTAGAACTAAACCACATACCCAAAAGGTGATCTGGAGGGCCAGGAATCCTTTCAACCGGAGTTTGATCCCCAGGACCTGTGTTGTGGAAGGAGTGACCCAACTCCTGCAAATGCCCCCCCATAAATAAATAGAATTCTTAAATAAAAATTTGTAAGAGATTATCTTGAAAATTGCCTCTCTTTTTTGTCACAAAGTATCTAACAAATAGTATTAATTTAACGCTCATCACACCATTAACTACAAATGCCAGAAAGAGCATCGCTGCTCTAAGAGCGTGAAGAGCAAAGAAGAAAACACTCCCCTATTTCTGGCAGGATTTTATCTTAGTAAAAGGAATTAATAAAGAAATTGTATTTAGGGGCTGAAGAGATGACTCAGCAGTTAAGAGCACTGGCTGCTCTTGCAGAGGACCCGGGTTTAATTCCCAGCACCCACATGGTGGCTAACAACTGCCTGTAACTCCAGTTCCAGGGACTCCAACGTCATCTTCTGACCACCACGGGCATTGCATGACACTGGTGCACTTACACACATGTACATAATGCATTCATACCTAGAAAATATTTTTTAAACTTTTTAAAAAAGAAATTGTATTTAAATGTCCATTAAAGATTTTGCATTTTACCTTTAAAAGTATAGCTAAATTTAAACCAAACTGGTAGATTAAGCATTCATTATATACTTAGATTAAAAACAATACATAATTCTTCTTCCAGTTTTCCATTTCATATTATTGTGATCAAAAAATGTTTTCAATATATATACCTTTTTGATGTAAAAGTTTTAAACGACCCAAATATATTGTTATGGCAGTTTAAAACATACCTAGTAAATCTCTGAGTTTCATGCGCAAACTTCTCCATCACTTAATATTACACAAAATGCAAAGTACCCTTTGAGCTGAGCCTGGTGGTACATGCCCGTGATCCCAGCACCGCACAGCACAAGGCAAGAGGATCACAATGGCAATGTCAGCTCTACTGAAGTATGTGGGGCATGCAGCTGATCCAGGGGTTGTTCACAAGAGAAGCTCAGTTTATAAGTACAGGTTTCAAAGTCATCATCTTATTGGAATGGTCCACAGAAAAAGTCAGATAGCAGCCAAAGAAAGGATTACAAATTAGTGAGAAGATAGTCAAATGCAGTCCTGAGCAAAATCATTTTTCAGAAAGCAAACCGGGGTAGCCCATGAATAAGAGTATAAAAGAAAGACCTTGAGGGTAAAGAGCTCCAGGATCAGCAGTTAGATCAGCAGTAGAACACCAAACAGCAAGGCCCACTGCATTAAGGACAGGCTGTCTCCTTAGACTACAGTTGAAAGTCATTGATAACTCTTGGGACTAGAGAGATGGCTTAGTGGTTAAGAGCCTGGCTGCTCTTGCAGAGGACCCAGGTTTGGTTCCCAGCACCCACATGGTGGCTAACAACCATCTGTAACTCCAGTTCCAGGGGATTCAATGCCCTTTTCCGGCCTCCACAGACATTGTATGCATGTGGTGTATGAATATACATGCAGGCAAAACACTCATATACAAAAAATGCAAATAAATAATAAATTTTAAAAATGTAAAGACAATTTTTGCAAAACCCATGTAAATAGAGTGATAGAGGCAGAAACCCAAGCTACTAAATTGAAGAGTGAACCAAAAAAAAAAACCAGATGAGAAGAACCAGAGGAATATTCAGTAGAGAACTGATTGAAAGAGAGAAGTTATCAGTAGCTGGAGGGCCTACTGACATCATAGGGACCAACTGCACATATTTACTGCTGAAACTCAGAAGTTTCAGAGTCAGTTAGGACTGGTCTAACTAACAGTAGGGAAAGACTAACAACAGCCACATAATCTAAGATTAAGAGTGTATAATTGGGGGCTCGAGAGATGCTTTAGTGGTCAAGAGCACTGACTGCTCTTGCAGAGGACCCAGGTTCAATTCCCACCACCCATATGGCAGCTAACAACTGTCCGTAACTCCAGTTCTAGGGGTTCTGACACCCTCTTCTGGCCTCCACAGGAATTGTACAACATGGGTATACTACCTACATGTAAGCAATACATTCATACACATAAAAATATTAAAAAAAACATTTTAAGTGTATTATTAGGCTGGGTGTGGTGGCACACACCTTTAGTTCCTGTACTCTGGAGGTGGAGGCAAAGGCAGGCAGATCTCACTGAGATCCAGGCCAGCTTGGTCTATATAGAAAATTACAGGCCAGCTGGAGCTACAGAGAGAGCTTGCCTTAAAAAATCAAACAAAAGACTAGAGTACATAATTGAGACCTTAAATAATTTCTTTTATTTGACTATTACTATTTTCTCTCTCTGGAGAGTTAAAAATTAAAGAAAATGAGAGAAAATTGCAGATCACATAGACTGTTACTTGCAATATTAGAAAAATAGTGCATAATATAAAATTTATCTACTAATTACTGCATAAATTTTATCATTATGAACAGCAGAGTATGTGCTTTATTAATAGATAGACTGGAGTTATCAATGCAGTGCTAGCTGTGCCTGACTAGCAGCTAGAGGGCAGAGGCCTCCCAAGTGCTGGGATCCCTCCCAAGTGTGCCCACCATACCCAGCAAAGCATTAAAACCACAAAAGAAACTGTCAGGGCACAGCATATATGACACTTCATAGTGTCCTCTGGTCTATTCTCGTGTACCATGGCAGGCACAGGGTAGCACTCACACACACCATACATATGCACAATAATAGTTAAGTAACATTTATAAAAGAAAATTCAGGTTCTTTGTGCCCTGGGAACTGTCTTCAGGATTTTTGGTGAAAGAAAGCAATTGAAGTCGTTAAAGCATTTTAATTTTATGTAAAGCATAAAAGCCCCATGAATACTATAACAACCTATATTCTCTGTGGGAAGCGTTAAGTCACAGATACCAATTCATATAACAAGACGGATGAGAAGTTGAATTGGAAATCTAGAAAATCTGGTCACTGGGAGTTTTCCTGAACCTTCTGCAGTTGAACACATTCAATCAATACATGTCTATAAAGACATATATAAAACCCTTCTTGTGTCTCTTCCTCCATATCTCTGCAGTCAGCTCCCATTCCGTTTCTAACTTTGACACACTTTCTAATATTGTCAGGTAATGAAGTCCTAGCCCTGTCACGTCTGAGCATATTGACGGACGCCTTCGCCTCCCCTTGAGGTGCTCCACAGAGCCTCAATCCTCATTACCTAAATCTTCCCCACTGTTTCACTACGTTTCAAAATTCCTTAACTTGCATGTTAGTAGTTAGCCCTTTAAAGAAAAACCTACATTCTAAACGTGCTTTCCTACAAGAGGGCAGACAGCTCTTAAATCTTTAATACAACGTCCTGGGTGACTTTATTGTTTTCTTCTCTAACTGAAGATCTCAGAAAGCCTGGGGAAACCAAAGTGCTGAAAATAGCATTAGGAAGCCAGAAAACCATGAGAAATAAGTTATTATCGAGCTCAGAAGACAAATTTGCCTAATTCAGTGTTGCTTAAGGCAGGCCCAGAGAGGCTGAGTATGGAGGGTCAAGGTGAGCTCTGGGCTGCTGGACCTCACCGTTTCAATCCAGTATTCACTACCTGGGTAAGGTGCAGCTGGAGGCTTCGGAAAATCATTGAAAGAGAACTTAAGATCAAAATGTTTAGCAGGTGATGAACTGCAGTCAATTATTAAGTGAAAATAGAAGGGAAGCCGAGCTGTCTTGTGGTAGTTTGCTCTATTTGTGCTGTTTTTGACAAGCTTGCACCCATGCATAGAACCAACCCCCATTTTTATCCTAAGCATGTACTTATCTAATTCTTTTCCATTATCTCTGACATTTCTTTATTTGCTGACATTCATTTTAGTGATACTGTGGAAGTGTGTATCTGACGTTAATACTTTAAACTTACTACAATTAATTTACAACTGCATGAGATATTATGCATGTATCAAATCCACATCATCATGTATTTGAATGAACACGTGTTCCAAAATAAAAATATAACAGTTAGCTCAAGTTTACTAACTATGGGTTTGTGTGTGTGTGTGTGTTCACATGTGAGCATACCTGTATGTATGCATTTAGATGCTAGAGAATGACTTTTGGTACCCTCCTCTATCTCCTCCCCCCTTACTTTTTGAGACCTTGTCTTTTACTGAACCTAGA